TATATGCTTTCTTGATTAATCTTGATAAAGTTCAATGTTAAGAACACTTAATATGCAAAACTTTGATTCAGTTTAAGGCAATGTTATCCATATAAACATATTAATCAAGATTATCCACTTTAACACTCAACCAAGATTTTGCTCAATGTAAAAGATAAGAGTGAGAGAGAACAATGCACAAGTCTTTTATCCTGGTTCAGCCACTCCACATGTGACCTACATCTAGTCCTCAATCATAACCTGATCAATATTTTTTTCACTATCTCAATGAAGAAGTTTTACAAGCATACAACACATGCATATACTCTTACATTCAAGATAACCACTTTCTTGCCCCCAAGAAAGCACTTCTTGTAAAAATCCACTACAAGAACTCCTTACCACTTGAGACACCTACTCAAGATTTCCCTTACACTTTTCACAAAGAATTAAAGGAACGAATTCACCTGGAAGCTGAACAAATCAGGCTGTGAATTCCAAAAGCAAATCTTAATCTTTCTTTCCCAAGAATGTAATGATGATGATGATCTCTTTCAAAGCATTTCAAAATGTTTTACTTCTTGGTTTCACAAAGAAAACACTCCAAGAAGGTCACAAAGACTATTGAAGCTTCAATACGGCCGTATTAAGTTCAGTACGGCCGTATTGGGCTTCATTCCCTCCACTTCCTTATTTTGAGCTATTCTAAGACCTCTAGACCTACAGAGAACCCTCCTAGGGCCTTCCAGGAGTCCTTCTGGCTGATCTTCCTTCAGTCTTCGAGAGTCTTCAAGCTTTATTTCCGACCCGGACAATTTTAGGGGTCTACAAGTGCTTCCTGGAATAATCGATTATTTCTCAGATAATCGATTATTACAGCAAAGCCCTTTTCACCTGTTGCTAGAGTAATCGATTACACTTAATGATAATCGATTATTTTGAGTTAGCTTTCAAAAACTCAATTTTATACTTCAAAAAAACTTTCCAAGTATTTTAAATCATCATCATACCCAGTCTCAGTCAATTTAGATTAAAATTAACTCATGCACAAAACATACACATGCAAAACAAGCTATTCAAAACAATACAACTCATAAGTTATTCCTATTACACATCAAGATATTCATATCTTCCTTTCTTGACTGGTTTGTGTCCTTGGTCAGCTTCAACTCCTTTGTTATCATCAAAACTCTCATACTCCAAGTCTGAGTCGATTCACTATTCCATGAATCTCAACAATCTCTCCCTTTTTGATGATGACAAACCATACAAGCCACTATGTTTTGCAAACCAGCATTTCACATTTTTAGATATGAGCCTATCATTTGAGCTTATCATGCCTTGTTCATATTTAGTCTTGCAAAACAAACTCAAAACCTTTCTCCCCCTTTGGACAACATCAAAAACAAACAGGTATATATATATATGTCCAGATATAGAGAAATAAATTTTGTAGATTGCATATGTATAGATTTATGCACAAGAGTCATTTGCTCACAAGACTAACTTAATACCAAGAAATCAGTCAAGCACTATCACCATAGGAATTGTTCCAATTAATCCAATTTAAATTCAAAATTTGTATAAGAGATTTTGATACATCATGAACACATGTACTTCATACACAATTTATTCCACATGATACATCAGCTACAATAAGCAACATCTCAAAGATACCAACAAACATCAACATATATGCATCAATACTATCACATATCAATATTCAAACCAGAATATAGCAGTATCAATCATTCAAATCAATGTTACCATAACCAAATCATATCAAACACAATATAACCACAATTAAATTCATATTGCACCAGAATTGAAATTGTTGAAACCAAAATAAGCAAATTATTCAGAAATTAAAATGATTACAACCCAATTAAAATTTAAAACAGAAATTTAAAACTAAAACTTCTAAAACAAAACACTAAAACTCCTAAATGCATCACTCTAAATCCTCTTGCATTCCAAGCTGAGCCTTAATCATTGCAATCTCATGATCAAGGTTATCAAACTGATCAAGAATGCCAGAATAATATGACTCATGCTTCCTTGACATTTCCATCACAGCATCCAGCTTGTTGATCATAATCTATTCAAACGGAGAAAATGCCTTAGGCTCCGATTCTTGCTCTTGTTCAGGTTCAATTTCCACTTGTGGTGGTTATTCCTCATCATGAGATGGAACACCATTTTCGTCCGTTGCCGGTTCAGGTGTTGGAGGAACACCACCTTTGAATATCCCATTTATCTTCTTGTTTTAGCATCCCCATATGATGCAAAGAAGATTTTTCAATCTTATTTGAGGAATGGAGAATTATATTTTTCTCCCCTTTAAGATCCACACCAGCTTTCTCAAAAATCCTAGATAGCAATAAAGCATATGGTATTGGACCATCCTCCTTTCTCCTAGCCTTCCAGATACAATCATCCACAACAGACACCCAGTCTATCTTTATCTTTTTCTTAATGACATGCATAAGAAAAATATCATCTCTAGATATTTGAGCATGGTTATGAAGTCTAGGCTTAAGCATCCAAGCTATTATAAAAGAAATCAACCTAGAGTTTTTCTTCATACCTCCAGCTAGAAATTTGTTGTAATTTGTGGTCTCCGGGTTCCTTTGACAATCTCTTAAAGTTGTCAGCTCTTCAAAGTAACCAAAATTGAAGGGTTGGGGCTTCATACTTCCAGTTCTACTCAGCCCAGCTGCTTCCTTCAATATTGGTCCATCAAGCTTTATGAGCTTGCCTTTTACCACAGATTGCATTATCCCCTCATTGCTTGAGGCAAAACATAGGAACAACCTAATGAGTTCCGGATAATACGGACCTTCCAACTACAAGAACTTCCCAAGCTGTTGATGCTCCAAGAGAGGAGGAAAACTGAAACCCTCACTCTTGAATCACTCCAGCTTCAAAGTCTTCGAAGGAATGATTCTCCTACCCACATACCACTCAAAGTAGTAGTCTTGGGTCTCTTTGTCAGCAAAACACTTGGAGATCAATTGCTCAGCTCCTATGGGGAAAGGTCTTTTGCTCCCCCTGACTTCAAGATTCTTGATCCTCTTGGAAGATGAGGCCATTTTGTGATTAAAGATGGGTTCTTGGTTGGAGAAGAGAAGATGAAGAAGAATGTGAGATAAAGGGGTAAGGGTTTATTTGTGAGAGTTGAGAGAATGTGTGGGTTATTTGTAGAATAAGAGGGTTAGGTGTTATTAAAGCCCTAGACACCGGATTGGGTAGAAGAGAGGTGTCACTTATGAAGGAAAGTGGGAGGTTGGGAGTTGGTGCGAATAAAATCGTTCAAAAACCTTCTGGAAAACCAAGAGTCGCGAAAATAATCAATTATCTATACAAATAATCGATTATTTGTATTAGTAAAATCTCTTGAAAAACCCTTTCTACACTAAATAATCAATTAATTTTGGAATAATCGATTATTCCAGAGGGTCATTTCCTCTAACTTGCCTAGATAATCAATTATTGCCCAAATAATCAATTATTATAGGGGCTCCAAGTTTTCTTATTATCCAGATAATTGATTATTTCCCAAATAATCAATTATTCCAAAGACTTCTGGAATTCTATCCCATAGGCATAGACTAACTAAATCTAAGTTGGATATAATTTCACCCTCACTACTTATAGTCCAAAATCCCAGAAGCATAACCAAACCTAAAACAACAAGTAATAAGCAAATGTTCTTGACAGATCAATTCAATTTAACATATAAGCAGCTTCAAGGCAACAAAATTACCAAAAGTAGAAACTATAAAAGCACAGTGACAAATAATTGGGATTTACTGGCTTACCTGTATTTGTTCCTTATTTCCAGCAGTAATGTTTGATATAGTCCAGCAAGCTTCTTTCTTGATGCTTTTTTTGTGATTATGTGTCAACAGGTTCAAAAGGCAAGGGAGTGCACCATGGTTGATGATACTCTGATGATAAAAAATCCACCAGAATTAGGAAATTCTTGAAGTACTGGGTCTGGTACACATGCACAACATAGAAGGATAGAAAAAACACAACAAAACAGACAATCTGAACTCCTTTTGCAGAGTCAAGGACTACCATATTAACTTTTCAACAAACTTGAGTTGTATAAGAAAATATTTGGAACAACTGGGGCAAAAAAACAAAGGTTGAAAACTGCTTGTGTTCCTTTCAATAGTATCAACAAATCAACAAACTATTACCAACTATTGACATGTCGTTACCTGAGTCTGCATGAGATCGCAATCCCAACTAGCACAGAGCACAATACTACTATAAAGACAGCAACAAAGAGGAGAGACAAGTATAAAATACCAGCAATAAAATAGTATGGGACAGTACTGTACAGTGTGGGGAGAGGCAGAGAATGGAGAAAAGAGAATAAAAGTTTCTTTCTAAACTATTTCATGTGTGTCACATTATCAGGTTTGGATCAATTATTTCCCTCCATTTGCCACAATTTTTTTTCCCAGAAAACAAACAAACAATTTTTTTAGGGTTTTTCAGAACCAGGTCACATTCTGACCCAATTAGGAACCCAATTGCAAACTGAACCATGTGATGCAGAAACTTATCACAATTCAGGAACCATTCAGCTGATTCAGCACCCAAAATGATTCACTTATCTATCTATATCACTAAATCAAAACAGATCAAGATTCTTATGGTTAGATAACACATACACACAGCGCTACATCCAGCAAGTAAAAAGCTTGCTACAATAATGTAGTTTGCGACATTTTTTAACTTGAATGACAAAAAATAATTTCAATTCATCAATCTAGCTGATTAGACAAATTGCATAGCCTAGCTTCATACTCAAACTTATGAAATTAAATTACACAAAACAAAGCTCAATGTCAAACTGCATTATGTTTAACAGGCCAGTTTTTTTTACCTACAAAAGGGGGGCAGGAGGGGGGTTAGGAAGGTGGGATTGAGACAATCTTTTATCCTTCTCTCCCATAGGCATAGACTAACTAAATCTAAGTTGGATATAATTTCACCCTCACTACTTATAGTCCAAAATCCCAGAAGCATAACCAAACCTAAAACAACAAGTAATAAGCAAATGTTCTTGACAGATCAATTCAATTTAACATATAAGCAGCTTCAAGGCAACAAAATTACCAAAAGTAGAAACTATAAAAGCACAGTGACAAATAATTGGGATTTACTGGCTTACCTGTATTTGTTCCTTATTTCCAGCAGTAATGTTTGATATAGTCCAGCAAGCTTCTTTCTTGATGCTTTTTTTGTGATTATGTGTCAACAGGTTCAAAAGGCAAGGGAGTGCACCATGGTTGATGATACTCTGATGATAAAAAATCCACCAGAATTAGGAAATTCTTGAAGTACTGGGTCTGGTACACATGCACAACATAGAAGGATAGAAAAAACACAACAAAACAGACAATCTGAACTCCTTTTGCAGAGTCAAGGACTACCATATTAACTTTTCAACAAACTTGAGTTGTATAAGAAAATATTTGGAACAACTGGGGCAAAAAAACAAAGGTTGAAAACTGCTTGTGTTCCTTTCAATAGTATCAACAAATCAACAAACTATTACCAACTATTGACATGTCGTTACCTGAGTCTGCATGTCATCTCCAGTCACAATATTTCCCACTGTACGAAGAGCGGGAATCAGCACTGAGGGAGATGGGTGTCTGCTAAGAATTTACACAAGGTGAAGGAAGCCAACAATTACAACAGAATCTATTGTTAACAGGTATAGTAGAACTAATACTCACATGAGGAGCTGCACCAATCTGCCACATACGCCTGCCTCAATAACTGCTTGGATTTTGTCATTTGTGCCATCAGAGAGATATGATAGTGCCCAACAATAGAATTTTAACAGCCTTTTCGTATATTTCATTGTTGTCATGACTCTGCAGGTTTTCAATCTTCTCCAATCCCTCCGCATCATCTATCATCTGTGCATACAAGTTGACATCTCCAGTATTACCTAGGCTCTTCTCAGCTTCTCCAACCTTGAGAATATTCTCTAGACCTTCTAAACAGACAGTGACAATCCTTGGGTCCGGGCAAACAAGCAGATCACAGAGAGGCTTTATGCAACCCTGGCCAACCAAGTACCTTGAAAACCCATAAGATAAGTGAATGCCATAGATTTAAAAAGTATAGAGAATAACCAGTCACAAAATCACATACTTGATCTGATCATGAGTTCCACCCGATGTAGCATTTGAGATTGCCCAAGCAGCTTCCTTTTTAATGTCAAACTCGGCATTTTGAAGAAGATTGACAAGGGGGGCAATCAGAGCTGCTTCAATAACAGCCTACATACAAAGAATGCATAAGATTTTTCAACAACAAAAACAGGATCATACACTTTGTAATAATATACAGACTAAAACATCTCTCATTAGGAACATATATATCAAGTCTGTCCATTAGAGAAGGCTTATTTTCTTACTCATGAATTGTAAACTCATTAAGATATATAGCTAAAATATTCATATAACAGCACAAATTAATGATGAATAACTAAAACATAAATGGGAGAGCATTTTAGCAGTGAAGAAACACATCAATAGATAAAATAGTAATATCAGCCTCCTTTCTTTAGTGTGACTCAATTTTCACCCACAATCCCAACTAGCACAGAGCACAATACTACTATAAAGACAGCAACAAAGAGGAGAGACAAGTATAAAATACCAGCAATAAAATAGTATGGGACAGTACTGTACAGTGTGCTTCAAGTGGAAATTACTAAACCCCTTTGTACTTTTCTTACAAAACAAAGTTCCACACAAGACAAGTAAAGTAGTGTGTGTGTGTGCACGAAACCCCTAGTAGGCAATAGAAGCCTTCTAAACGAACCTAGGAGCTAAACAATTAAAATGAAAGCAAATAAAGCATATACTAGTCGCTTATCCTAAGGTGAAAGTCCAAGTAGCACCTAAGGCTTTTTGGGACACTTTCACCAACCTAGAAATCCGGTTTATGAAAGCTAAAACTAAATCTAGCCGGTTCCTAGTGGAAGCCCAAGGTGGCACTTAAAGCCTTTGGGGACCCTTCCACAAGCACTAATCGAGGCTAATAGAAATTAAGTAGGACTATTTAGGAGGTGGGGGAGCTTACTTAATGTCCAAACAGCCACCCCTAAATGCAAGTTGAATACAAAGAAAATTGACACAAAACTATTCAAGCTAAGTGATGAAATTACAACTCAAATAAGCAATACAAAACAAAAGTTCTTCTTGGCCACTCTTCCACCAAAATAGCTGGACAGTTTGGGACAGCCTCTAGTCCAGGGATGTGCCCCAAATTGGCTGGGATCAAATCCTTTTCAAGGTCTTCAAACAGCCACAAAATTGCCACTAAGGCCGCCTATTGTATGTCCTTTCTTACAATAATAAAAGCAAGTAGTTTTGTTTTATGAAATTTCCTTTAGATTTTCTAAAAGATTGGTTCCTATTAAAAACTTTTTCCATTGATTTTAACGGCATGTTCATGCTTTGATTAAAACCAAGTCCACTTCTATCAAAAGCATGTCTTTGCTTTCCCAAAATGATATTCAAATTTGCATTTCCATTTGTGAACTTTGCAAGAGAGTTTTTCAAATCATCATTTTCCTTTTCCAAAACCTTGCAATTTTCAAAATCAACTTTTGAAGAAGGGGAGGTTTCATAATGAGCTTCATTGAAGTTGAAAATTGTTTAAAGGATTTTCATACCATGACAGCTTGTTTTTAAGCTTTGAATTTAAGACATCTAACTTCACAACCTTTTTGTGAATTTGAATGAAAGCTTCTTGAAGTTGATCATAATCCGGATTAGATTCAAGATCAGAATCACTTACTATTGTATCTTGATCAGCTCCAGCCATCAAACGTAAGTTTTTTTCCTCAAATTCAGATTCATCACTTGTTGTGCTTGAGTCATTGTCTTCCCAAGCAATGTAGGCTTTTTTTCCTTTGTAATTTTTCTTCCCTTTCTTTTCCTCTTGTTGCTTCTTTAGAAGGTTGGGGCATTCAGCTTTTATGTGGCCTGGTTTTCCATACTCAAAACAATTGTAAGAGGATGTGCTTCCTTTCTCTTTCTTGTTGGCCTTCTTGTTGAACTTGTAGGGGGAAACTCCTATTCTTTCTTAGGAATTTTCTGAACTTCTTCACCAGCAAGTTGAAGTTCTCTGAATCAGAATCTTCGGAGCTTGAGTCTTCACATATTTCTTTGCCTTTGAATGATTTCAAGGCTTTTAGAGACACTCATTTACCCTTTTTGTCTTGCTGTTCATTTTCCTCCAAAATGTGCAGCTTTTGCTCATGCTCTCTTAGCTTTCCAAAGAGAGTTGCAAGGGTTAATGAAGTCAAGTCCTTTGATTCGTCTATTGCAGTAACCTTTGCTTTCCAAGATCTATCCAAGCATTGTAGCAATTTCAAATTTAGTTCTTCTTCTTCAAATTTCCTGCCAAGATCAACAAGGTGATTTATCAAGTGTGTAAACCTTTTTAAAAATCAGAAATTGATTCACCATGATTCATTCTCAACAATTCATATTCTCTTATAAGAGTATGCTTTCTAGATCTTTTTACATCACTTGTTCCTTCATGAGTAACTTGTAAAGTGTCCCACATTTCTTTAGCAGATTTGCATTGAGAAATTCTAAAAAACTCATCAATAGATAATACAGATGTAAGAATGTTCTTTGCTCTATAGTCATATTGAGCTCTCTTTTTCTCATCATCACTCCACTCACTCCAATGTTTTTCTTTCTTTCCATCACCATCTTTGGTCATAGGGTTATAGGGTCCATTTTTTATTGCATCCCACACAGCAACGTCAATTGCTTCAATGAAAATTCTCATCCTAATTTTCCAATACACATAGTTTTCACCATTGAAAATAAGAGGTCTATGAATAGACACACCCTCACCATAAGGTAAGTTGTTGTTGGCAATTTTTGAAATCTTGATTAACACTCAAGAACCTTGCTCTAGATACCAATTGTTAGAAAAGAATGGCTTAATCCAAGACGAGGGGTGAATTGGATTCTATGACACTTAATTTTTTTTTAGAGTTCTAAGGACCTTTATTTCAACTTAAACTTTTCTAATATAAGTTCTCAAAGAAGTTCCTTGAAAGACTTGCTAATGGGAATGAGTCTTATATGCTTTCTTGATTAATCTTGATAAAGTTCAATGTTAAGAACACTTAATATGCAACACTTTGATTCAGTTTAAGGAAATGCTATGAATACAAACATATTAATCAAGATTATCCACTTTAACACTCAACCAAGATTTTGCTCAATGTAAAAGATAAGAGTGAGAGAGAACAATGCACAAGTCTTTTATCCTGGTTCAGCCACTACACATGTGACCTATATCCAGTCCTCAATCATAACCTGATCAAGATTTTTTTTTCACTATCTCAATGAAGAAGTTTTACAAGCATACAACACATGCATATACTCCTACATTCAAGATAACCACTTTCTTGCCCCAAAGAAAGCACTTCTTGTAGAAACCCACTACAAGAACTCCTTACCACTTCAGACACCTACTCAAGATTTCCCTTACACTTTTCACAAAGAATTAAATGAACGAATTCACCTGGAAGCTGAACAAATCAGACTGTGAATTCGAAAAGCAAATCTTAATCTTTCTCTCCCAAGAATGTAATGATAATAATGATCTCTTTCAAAGCATTCCAAAATGTTTTACTTCTTGGTTTCACAAAGAAAACACTCCAAGATGATCTCTTTTTGATTCTCAATTCATTCTCTATTCTGAAGCTTCAAAGTGTGAAAGCTATTTATAAAAATTTCAAAACCAGATAATCGATTATTTTAAAGGATAATCGATTATTTTGTTCTTCATGATTTCTGGAAACCACTCAAGAACAGAATAATCATTTATTTTGCAGGATAATCGATTATTCCAGAGAGTGCTTCCTAGAATAATCGATTATTTCTCAGATAATCGATTACTACAGCAAAGCTCTTTTCACCTATTGCTGGAATAATCGAGTACACTTAATGATAATCAATTATTTTTTAGTTAGCTCTCAAAAACTCAATTTTATACTTCAAAAAAACTTTCCAAGTATTTTAAATCATCATCATACTCACTCTCAGTCAATTTAGATTAAAATTAACTCATGCACAAAGCATACACATGCAAAACAAGCTAATCAAAACAATACAACTCATAAGCTATTCCTATTACACATCATGATATTCATATCTTCCTTTCTTGACTGGTTTGTGTCCTTGGTCAGCTTCAACTCCTTTGTTATCATCAAAACTCTCATACTCCAAGTCTGAGTTGATTCACTATTCCATGAATCTCAACAGTGATGAGTGAAAAACCCCTTTTAAGACCAAATTTGGTTTGTATGAGTGGTTAGTGATGCCTTATGGCCTCACTAATGCCCCTAGCACCTTCATACACCTGATGAATCATATTCTTAGGGATTGCATAGGAAAGTTTGTAGTCGTCTACTTTGATGACATTTTGGTGAATACCAAAACCTTAGATGAACGTCTTGGACATCTAAGGCAAGTCTTAATAATTCTTAGGGAAAACCACCTCTTTGCCAACATTGAGAAGTGTACATTTTGCAAAGACTAAGTCAACTTTTTGGGTTTCATAGTTGGCAAAAAGGGAGTTCATGTTGACCCCAAGAAAATAAAGGCCATCCAAGATTGACCCACCCCAAAAAGTGTTGGAGATATTAGAAGCTTTCATGGTCTAGCTAGCTTCTATAGAAGATTTGTAAAAGACTTCTCCACACTTGCATCCTCTCTTAACGAGCTTGTTAAGAAGGATGTACCTTTCCTTTGGGGTGAATCCCAAGAAAAAGCCTTTAAAATCCTAAAAGAGAAACTTACCGATGCACCCATCCTAGCTCTTCCAAATTTTGACCAAACCTTTGAGCTAGAATGTCTGTGTTACTTCAAGGAGGTCACCCCATTGCTTACTTTAGTGAAAAACTCCATGGGGCCACCTTGAATTATCCCACCTATGACAAGGAACTCTATGCCCTCCTAAGAGCTCTCCAAGTTTGGGAGCACTACTTAGTGACTAAAGAATTTGTTATACACACCGACCATGAGTCACTCAAGTATCTTAGAGGGCAAGGGAAATTAAATAAAAGGCATGCAAAGTGGGTGGAATATCTTGAACAATTCCCCTCAATCATCAAATATAAAAAGGGTAAGAGAAATGTAGTAGCCGATGCTCTTTCAAGAAGGCATACATTACTCTCCACCTTAGGAACACAAATACTTGGTTTTGATGATGTAAAGGAATTGTATGAGCTTGATTTAGACTTCCAAGCCACTTATGCCAAATGTCTCCAAAAGCCTTTTGATGAAGTATATTTTCTTGAGGGGTATTTCTTTAGAATGGGCAAACTTTGCATACCCCAAGGATCCCTTAGAAAGCTTTTGATCAAAGAAAGCCATGAAGGGGGTCTCATGGGCCATTTTAGGGTTGACAAAACCCTAAGTTTCTTAAAAGCAAAATTTTATCGGCCACATATGAGAATAGATGTCCAAAGGCATTGCTCCAAATGCATTACTTGTCTAAAGGCTAAATCAAGAGTAATGCCTCATGAACTTTATACCCCCCTTCCCATAACTAGCTCCCCTTGCGTAGATATTAGCATGGACTTTGTGCTTGGACTTCCAAGGACTCAAAGGGGATTTGACTCCATCTTTGTGCTAGTGGACCGTTTTAGCAAAATGGCTCATTTTATACCATGCCACAAAGTGAATGATGCTAGCTATATAGCTAAATTATTCTTTAGGGAAGTGGTCCGCTTGCATGATCTACCCAAGACAATTGTGTCCCATAGGGATGCTAAGTTCCTTATTCACTTTTGGAACGTACTATGGGAAAAACTAGGAACAAAGCTCCTCTATTCTATTACTTGTCATCCCTAAACCGATGGCCAAACCGAAGTAGTAAATAGGTCCTTATCCACTTTGTTAAGGGTACTCCTCAAAGGGAATAAGAAAACATGGGATGATTGTCTCCCCTACCTAGAATTTGCATACAATAGAGCAGTCCATAAGGCTACTAATCTTTCACCCTTTGAAGTTGTATATGGCTTTAACCCAATAACCCCTCTTGATCTGCCCAGAGAGCGCACCCGAGCTCGGGAAGACTTGGCAAGATCCTGCAACTCACGGACTTGGGCAGCGTAAGTCTCATTAGACCTCAGAGCAATCTCCAAGGACTTCTGGACCCTCTCTAGCTCCTTCTGGGTAGCTTGTAGCTCGGCCTCATTCTGCATCTTGGCGTCGTTGAGCCAATGCCTTGTTTTCTTCCTTCAAGGGCTGGACTCGCCCTTTCAGCTTTGCCAAGTCCTCCTGCTGCTTGGCCCACTTATGTTTCCAATGATCCACGATCGCCATCGTCCTCTGTAGGAAGACTTCAGCAGAATCAAGACCTCCCACTGGCCCGGCCGACTCGATCATGGCTTGATCAGTCGTGCTCAGCAAACTACTGGAGAAGAACTTCTCCGCGGTTACCCCCGCACTCCATAAAGAGTGTATGTCCTCCGAAGCGCTTACATGGTCCAACCGCACCTGGGAGGAACCCTTTACAAAGTGCTGGGCGAGATACTGGCTTCTAGGGCGCTCCTTCGACGAGCCAGACGGCGGTGCCGAGCTTGCGGGAGTGGGAGTCGGGACCTCGGAGCTCGGCCCCTTTCCACGGTTATTGGCGAAGGCAGAGGCAGGCGCCCCTTGCTCAGCAACGGGGATACCCACCCTTGGT